CCTAAGAGTGCCAAGAGTCTAAGCAGGCAACAAGGAAGTGGAGTAGACCTGATGACTAAGACCTATCTACAGTATAGGTACCTGTGGATGATCCTAAGAGACCAAGTCTGAAGAGACAGTCCCCAGGCAGAGTAGGCCTTATATTTATACCTCTGTGGTGGAACCTGCTAGAACATCTTGCTTACTCAGCCTAGTCAGGTGATCAGGTCATATGACCAAGGATGAGGTCATATGAGGTCATGCACAGCCATGCACAGCAGGTCACCTGACCATCCAATCCTTCCAGCAGGTTCCAACACATCCCAAGGTATACCAGCTACTTCCATGTCATAAAGGCTTAGTCATGTCTCTTGACCAAGCAATGAGCTGGTGCCCTGACACTCTAGCAATTGATTGCCTTTGCTCTGTCATCAGTGTGACTCTATCCTCCTGGGACTAGCTCAAGGTCTAGAGGTGGGAAAAGGCATGAGTGTTGACAGCCTAACCCCAATCCTGCCACATGAGGCCATCACTCATTACGCAGTCTGTCATTCACCCAGGCACTGAGTCTCAATGTCTGAGTGGGGTATCACATTCCCACTGCGGTGTCATGCAAAGAGCTAGACACTAGTGCATGTATATGGCTGATTAATCTAGTTCTAGAACCAAGTGGAGAACAAGCATATGGCTCATATCCAGTTTCTTGAGTGGAATATAGAATGATAATCATGTTCCTGCAATGAGACAGAAGGTCATTCTTGTCCAGACACTGGATATCTATCAGCAACTTGTGAGATACAATAACATTGTGTGTGTTTCACACAGTTCCATGCACAACCATCAGGGCCCATTTCATTTCAAGAGTGAACACCCAGTTCTAGCTCCTAATCCTAGCTCTAGTGCAAGAGTGGTCTGAAAGACTCATTCCTTGCAATAATTCTCTGGAAAATTGCTTGTTCTTTTATACAAGAATGATATCAAACCAAAGAACAGAATAACACATGTGTGCAACCATTGGCCCATGACATTCTAGCACATGAAACCATTCCCCAGCTGCTCTCTTCTATTGTGCACTCAAGTTTATGGCTTATTTCTAGCCCTAGATCTAGATTTAGGGCTGATGACCTCATGCATACATCTCAGGCATGAGAGAACAGTGTCTTCTAATGGAAATGGTGTCTGATGGTGCACCAAAGTTCATCAGAAAAAACAATGCAGTTGTGCCAGATGGCTTCTGTGTGCAGGCGCTCCAGAAAATTCATGGCCAATAACAGATCAATGCCTAGCTCTAGAGCCAGACATCAATGTATGACACTGACAGTAGTCATATGTCAATACTGCATGCAGTTGATGGACACAAGAGAGCACACAAGGAGAGCACCCTGGGTGGCAAACGCTGAGATGGTTCCAACTTTCTTGTACCTGTACCAATGACCAATATTACCTTTTGACCTGGGTTACTCACAGCTGGTACTAGTACTAGAGCTAGTACTAGAGAAATATAGAGGAATGCATATACATACAAGGCCTCATTAGAGGCCAAGATGCTTGAGATGTGCAAGAACCACAAGTATCCACAGTTTGGTCTGAGCACAAACCAGAGACTACCAAGCCAAAACTTCTTTAATTAGCCCTGTTTCTTATTCAAGTTCTAGAATAAGAATTTTATATTCATGTACAGTTCTTTAATCTGGGCAATACTATTGTGCATAAGAGAGGGTGGGTGCTACAAACCCAGAGGATCTAGGAGCAGGGTCCTTGATCACAGAACAAACCCTGTTTTGAATCTCCTTCTCAGAAGACTGGCCCCCAATTTTTGCTTACCAAGCTCTTCCTTGATCAATACAAGCACATGCATGTGGAATTGAGGGCTGCTTCTTGTTCTAGCACTTGCCAGAAGTGAGAACTAGATTGGCAACCTGGTCCATGCACCAAACAATGGGTGGCAGTGCTGGATGTAATATAAGGCCATGTGAACTGCAGTATCTCATCCCCTGTCAAATGTTTATGCCCATCATCCCCTCTCCCAGTCCTCCTCCTTTCACTAGCCCCTGTCCTTGCATCCCCCCTAGTCCCTTTGTCTTACCCCTTCCTCTTGACTCTGGTCATTTTCCCCTCCAGCTCAACCTTCCTGCTGCCCCTCTATCTAGTATGGGCTCTAGACATCCCCTGGCACAAGAGAGCCTGTCCAGGCATGCAAGTTGGATCTGCATGCTGACCTCAGCCCATGGCAGAGCACCAGAGGCTGCAAGCAGGCAACCAGACCCAGCTGCTGCTCTGGCCCTTGCTAATGGTAAGTGTTCTAGTCCTAGAACTAGAACTAGAGTGAGAGCTGATGGATGCCTAGCCTCTGCAGCTCATGCTCACATGGATGTCTTGCATGAAGAGGTGCCTGACCACACCCACAGACATTGCATGAGCGCCCACAGTACTCCTCACTCAGCCCCCCACATTATTGCTCTAGCTCCTGCTTGTGTTGGTGCTGCTTCCAACACCCCTCTCATGAACATACCGGAGGTTCATTGTCCAACTGTGGACATCTTGCCTTTCACCGCAGGTCCGATGACAACTTTGAACTGCCAGGTCAGTCTCTATGGCACCAGTGCTAGAATGAGAAGTAGTGGTGAAACAGGGAGCAGTGCAGGAGTCCCACTGTCTCAGACAATCACTACCAATAGTGAAGCTCCTTGTGCATGTTCTAGTTCTAGAATGTGTGCACATATATTGACCTCTTGTCTTCATAGAGGATCAACTTCTTATGTTTGATGGGTCTTGTTTATATGACACTAGTCAAGTTCAAGTGGCCCCTTGGGCATATCCTTCCTACCTGACACTTGCCAGTGGGGTGCCAGGTGGGAGCTGATCAGGGGCTAGAGCTGAGCTCACTGCCGGCCCAAAGCCCATTCTTGGCACCACATTGGATGGTCTTGATTACTGGCACTGGACCATGCATCCATGGATGACCCAGGATGTCCACCAGTGTAAAACATGCTATTTCTATGAATTCTTGCCCAAGCTGGAAGATCTGGTGAGTAGCCCTAGTGCTAGTTCTAGTTCTAGAATGTGCACTGATCCACATCCAGTTCACCTGGTCCAATTGCAGCCTCAGAGGCCAGGTCTCTTTCTACATATGGCTAGCATTAATGGTGGTGACAAAGACCTAGAGCCAGAGCCTTGGTTCTGGGTCTCAAGGAACTTGAGGAAGTCTCCAGCATATATGGAGATCATTGAGTGCTTTGTTTATGTTTTCTCAACTGTGCTCATGAACAGCAAAGTGCACAAGTACAACAAGTATGTGAAGTCCAAGGATGACATCCAGGCTGGCCTCGCACAGGTGTCTGAACATGACCTTGGTGTGGACATGAATCTCGAACCTGATATTGAGAGGTCCATGAGAGAGGCCCTTGATGAGGTTGAGGAGATGACCAAGGCCCACTTTGAGGCTGCAACTGGCTCTAGTGCTTGTCCTTGGGGGCACCCCTCATTGTCAAGCAAGAGCCAAGGGAGCACAATGCAGAGCTCAAGACTGTCCTGGCCTTGACAGACCCGGGCAAGGGCAAGGGCTGCGAGACTAGAGATAGCAACATCAACATGCTCCAGGGCAAGGTTGACACTAACAATGTGAGGCAGTATCCCTACCACCCAGACCCTGTCCACCTAGCTGCTGAGCTGCACAAGCTCTCCCACCAGGGGTTGCACAAGTACAAGTGCCCTCCTCCCAACATGGTTCTTGCTGATTTGCCCGGCACTATCCAGATCTATCTTCAGGAGTACAACAAGACGATCTTGGAGCAGGTTGCCCACCACGCTGAGCACAAGCTCAAGCTCATCTGGGCTTACGACAGCCCTGTGCATTGGGATGACCTTGTCACTGACCTTGTTGGGGGGGATTGGTCTGACAGCCTGCTCCAGTTGATGTACAAAATTTGCTGCATTTGAGAGGCAATGGAGGCCACATTCTAGAACTAGAACAGGGCCTGTCAAGAAGAACCACTAGCTCTATTTTCTGCTCTCACTCAATGCTCTGCTGTCCAAGCTCAAAATTGAGCTTGCACCATCAAAATCAATGACCTCATTCTGATGCTTGTTCCCACTCTCTATGCTCTCACTCTCTCCCAATTGATTGCATGGACTCTGGCTCTAGTACTTGTACTAGACCTGGGCCGTCAAGAATGACAACTCTTCTCTTTACACATGCTCTCAGTTTCACTCTCAAAGGGGTTCTAGTCCACATGCCCAGGCTTGGGCTACTTGAAAGTATCATGGTAACCATAGGACAGAGACAAGGTGGCACTCTAGGCTCCTGTATAATTGACAAAATCAACAAAAGAGGGGAAAAAAAGGACTCACTCTAGCACTAGCAACAAAACCCAAAAACAGTTCCCTGCTCATACATCATACTTCCTCTTTCTCTCTGGCCCTTTGGCCCTACCTTGCAGCAGCTTTTCTCTGCTATGCCAGCACCCAGTACAGATGTTGTTAATAGGTAGCTCTAGGACTAGACCTAGATTAGTAGCTCCATCAATCAATGCTGTTGTCTCTTGTCATCCTGCCCATTGTTCACATGACCAAACCACACTGCTTGTTCCTGGGCCTGGCAATTGCCCTGCTGATGCATGTCAGTGTGTGACTCATGAGCTAGGTCTTGCTGTGTACTAACCTTCAGTTTGTATCACTGTGACATATCATTTCTGTCAACATGGACCATGGCAATGAAGAGAACTGAAACAAGATAAGAGGTTTGTCAAGTTCTAGATCTCATCTCTCAGCAATGCCTCAAACTGATCCAGAGAAATTGCAGTGGAAGACAAGGAGCGAGATCATGACAGTGAACGGTGCTAAGCATGTGCTAGCACAAGAACAACTACTAGAGCTCAAACTAGTCCTTGGTAATATGCTGGAGGACATTGCTCAGGAGACCAGCCTATCCCATGCAGCTGTTGATGGCTACTTCAAAGGCCACCACACAGGTTACAAGTGCATGAATGAAGGAGTCAGCTTGAGGAATGCTGCGGTGCATCAGCTCAGCAAAGAGTATCAGGAGCAAGATGTGTCCAACTTTCATTTCATCTTGATCTAGTTCTAGAGCTGATGTCAGGTCAGCACATACGTTCTGATTCACCGCCCCCCAGGCCATGTGCTGGCTTGAAGAAAGATGAGATCAAAGAGAGGATGCGCTGGCTTGAAGACCACCTGACAGCCCAAGTGGCAGCAGAGCAAGCCATTTGAGACCTATGTGATCAGAAGACCACCCAAGTTTGAGACAATCATAAGGGGCAAGAAGCAGACACAACTCATGTGCAGAAAACCTTTGAGCGTGATGTGAGTCTTGTACATGCTCTAGGACTCCAGCCAGGGCTAATTCGCAGCTCTAGACTCAGGCATTCCACTTAAGGATGAATGGTCACATGTGTGGCTTTGTATGCAGGAGTGCTGTCAAAGACTATGCTCCACCTGCATTCTTTGGCACCATGTTATCAAAGTTGTTCTTCGAGGATGTGTTCCGGCAGAAGAACTGGTCTTTGCCTATGAATCATATTGTACCAGCAGAGGAGCCAAGGGTGAGTGGTCCGGGCCTCATTCATGCTAGAACTAGAACTCATGTGAGACCAAAGGTGCATCTGAGCACATTGCCAAGAGGGTCATCAACTTCAAGCATTCCATTCAAGCCATGCTAGATAAAGCCCTCCCATCTGTTCACCCATGCAATGGCTAGACTCTGAGCTGACATACATTGCAGAGTGTGCTAGCGGAGATGCTGCTGCCAAGATGCAGTACAAGAAGTTTGGCCAAGTGGTGGAAGACAAGTATAAGCTCATGCTACATGGCCAGCCATTGGATGAGCTCAAGAACCTGTCTGATATCTCGAGTATGCTTCTGTTGAGCCAAGTTCATGCAGCACTCATCAATGGCTTGTGCTTCTTTGAAGTGATGAATGAGAATGAGCTTGAAATTCAGAGCCAATGTCTAGAACAAGAGCTAGAGCAAGGACGCAAGAGGAGAGTGCAGGCTATGGAAGTTGCTCAGCTAGAGGGCAGAGGGGCAAGGCCTTTGAAAAGAAGGTGTGTAGCCAACAACATGGACCAAGGCCAAAGGGCACTGCCCAATGTCAACACACATCTGCCTCTGCCTCCTCCAATGCAGGGGGCCACAGTCCCAACCATGGCCCTTCAGCAAACCGCCCTTCCCCGCCCTGCCAGTCACACCACACTGCCTCCCCCACTGACATATGTGCAAGTTATATGCTTGGCACCAGGCATGTCTGTCAAAGGTTGGCTGCTCAAACAGGAACCCACATCTCTCTCCACCAATCTGATGCTGACTTCAATGCCTACTACTCCACTACTGATTGCCTGGTCACCACTTCCAGATCAGGTCCTAGACCAAGCACCCTGGGCTCTCCCTCTAGACCCAGATTCAGCAGGAAGTCAACCTCTGTCCACTGAGCTACAACCCCCTGCTCTAGACCTAGACCTAGATCTAGGTCTATATGAAGCTCCTGCCCAACTAGTGTTAGATCTGGATGAAGGTCCAGCCTGACTAGTTCTAGGTCTAGACAATGCTCCCACCCAACATGCTCCTGAAGAATCAGGTCTAACTGGACAGATGGATGCCAGTTCAGTGACAGCCCTCTTGGACACAGATGGGGAGGTGGCAACAGGGGGGGAACTGGAATGGATGCTACTCCTTGACACCAATGATGAGTCTGCTGGTGATGGGCAGGCTGATCCAGCTCCAGAGCCAGTCCTCCAACCATGACATCCAAAGGGCCTGACCTGGCTGCAGCCCTTGCACAAGAAACAGGTCAAGGTGGTGAAGGGATCAGCTGTAACAGAGGCCAAGGCAAAGAGGAAGTCAAACAATGCCCATTTTGACATTAATTTTGCCAAGCTGGACTGAGCATGATGAGTGGCTTCTGCTCCATGTAGGCATATTCTGCATGAGGCAATGAATCAAAGCAGTGGACCAATACCATGCCAGAGTTATCAGGGACTAGATCTAGATCTCGAGACTGGTTCTTGATTGGCATAGATAGAGATATTATTTCAATAGCAGGTACCTGACATCCAAGAGAGCAATGATCCAAAAATGGGTGGCCACCTCTCTTCTGGCCATGCTAGCACTTGTGCTAGACCCCTCTGCCTCTAGTGCACATTCCAGGCCCCAACACAGGTCTTGCACTTGTGCAGGAACTCTTGGCCTCTGCACCTGTAGCACTGTCCCAATGTCTCATCACACCTCAAACTTCCTGCTCAGCCAAACTCTGCAGGGCAACTTCGGCAAGAACATGGAGAGAACCAAGGGCCTCCCACATTGGTGCACATGTCTTGTTCTTGGCCTTGCACTCAATCGAGTGCTTAGCCTTCTTGCGCCAGAGGCAGACTCGGTCCCGAGAGTCTGTTCTGGCTTGACAAGCAGTTGCATGCTTCACAGCTTGGTATTTATGTTGATACTCCAGCCTTCATTGGTGATTACTATGGACATCATGAGTGATATATTCATAGTGACACCACAGACCACTCATGTGGCCAGATACTGTCACTTGGAGGCACCCTTGCTTGACCTGGCATCTGACTCAAAGACAAGTGGCTGAGAAAGGGCAGATGCCCCAGAGGCTGAGCAATGGCCTGCAGTTGATGGTGATGGTGATGGCAAGGACAGAGATGAGGAGGACTTCCTCATAGTCAGGGTCAAGATGAGGGCACAACTCTAGTTCTAGAGCTAGAACAAGGCAGTATGCCTAGCCCCTGGGTGCTGACAGCACACATGATAGCAGTGCTGCAAGCAATAGCCAGGCAAGTGCTGGAGCTGGAATTACACTGGAATCAGCCAACTTGGCATCAGAGCCAGATACGTGACAGGGGCGGCCTGTGTCCCTGTCAGGGATGAGACGCAGGAGCTATGGGGTCTAGGTGCCCTCTTGTGCAGCCCTGTGCCACTGCATGGCATGTGCTCTGGTCCCTGAGAACATCCGACCAGAATTCAAATAAAACTAACAATTGTTTGTATAATTCTTTTCTTGTTCAACAACCTTCTTCATCTTCTCTTTCTCACGATTACGTTGATTGCGTGCTCATAATCAATAAGATGGCTGCTCAAATCGAAGCTTCAACATCGAGTTTCAAACCTCCGCCTTTGGGAAAATACCTCGCACACAATGGTGAGTTTTCTCGTCCTCATCTCCATCTCCAATCCCAAGCTGAAATCCGTCCCAGACAAACAAGTGCGAGACAAAGCCGTCGCATCCCTTCGCTCCTTTCTCGTCTCCTCCCCGCACGCCCTCCCACGTCAAGAGATGACCAAGCTCTGGAAAGGGCTCTTCTACTGCTACTGGCACTCCGACAAGCCGCTGGTGCAGCAAGCGCTCTCCAGCGAGCTCGCCACCCTCCCGCTAGAAATGGACGACCCCGCGCGGGCACTGGCATTCCTCCGCGGGTTCTGGGGGATGGTCGTACGCGAGTGGAATGGGATCGATAGGCTGAGGATGGACAAGTATTATATGCTTGTGAGGAAGTTTGTCAATGGCGGGTTTAGGCTCCTCGCGAGAGAGGACTGGGACGAACAGTGTATTCAGGAGTGGAACGATCAGCTGAGCGGGCCTGGCGGGCCGCTAGAGTACGTCTCCCCCTCTCTCATCATCAGGATCCACACCTGCTCATCCTGGCCCAGCCCAACAGACCCCAAGATCCCCCAATCCCTCGCATACCATATCGCCGACATCTACCTAGACGAACTCCAGAAAATAGTGCAGGAGCTTCCTTCCCCTCCTCCGCTGGCGCTCCTCGCCCAGCCCTTCCTGTACGACATGTCCCTGAACCAGAGCAAGATCCTCTTCGACAGGCTAGTCTCTGCCCTCCTCTCCCCGTTGTTGTTTTCCCTTTCGGCGGAAAGGGTGGAGGAGACGCCTTACCTGCACCTGATGGGCGCTATCGGCCAGCAAGGAGACCGCAGAGGGATGAAGAAGGCTCTCTTGAGTGCGCTGTTTGAGCAGGCGAATAAACCGGAGACGAAGGAGGTGAATAGGAGGAAGATGCATAGGATTTGGAGGGAGGAGATGGCGGGTGACCAACCGGTGGGAACGGCCTTGCCTGAGGCGTAGACAAAAGCACTTCCGATGTGCACTTCCTAGGCTCTATCATCTTGTAATCATATACACAGACGCATTCATATAATTGTTTTGTAAGGCAGTTTTCAGTGATGTGGCATGGACCACAACAAGCATTGAATTTGATTCGGCGACGGGAACAACAAAATATTTCTTCCTTGACAAGAAGGGGATTCGAACCCCTGCCTCTTACGAGATGGGGATATTCATGCCCCCGACGGAGGTAAGAACAGAGTTCTTGAATCCCACGTCTTAGACCAACTCGACCATCTTGCCATTCGAATTTACCTGTTCTCCGCTAATATTGTGTAGGTATCCCGGTATGGTTGATGGGTCGGTATGAGCGCTGGACAGAGTGTGCAAGGCCCGACGCTGTGTTGGTCATTATCCTAATAACTAGGTATATGCGCAGATTTTGAAGAAGTACATATACTCAACTGTACTCTCCCCCGCTCCACTCTGTTCCCTTCCTGCTCCCCTGTCCCCTCCCCTCCCCTCCCGCTCGCACTCCCGCACCCCTCGTGTCGCCCTACTCAATCTTACCAATCCTATCCGCCAACCTGAGCCTCCTTGCTACAAACCCATACGAGTGCCAAAGCAGGAGAAGGGGTATGACGACCCATATGCTGTTGAAGAATACAAGATACCTGTGTACGTGTCAGTCACGTACTTGAGACGCGTGGGATAGAAGGGGGAGGAAGGGAGAGGAAGGGGGAGGAAGGGGGTGAATTGCGTACACCCAGAGAAGGAGCCAGTTGGAGGTGTTGAGTGCTGGGGAACCGATGAGCCATTCGGGGCAGAATGTCATCCACCCTCCGTACAGCTCCGCCTAGGACGCATCAGCACGCACGCGACAGGACGAGGAGGGGACACACGGTACACAAGACGATAATCCAGTAGTGCCTCGCTGGGTCACGTCTCACTATCTGTGCTGCTATGTACACGGCTAGTGGGCCTGCGAGGAAGACAGTAAGGAGTTCGAGGGAGACGACGCATGGGTCTGAGAGTGACCATCTTGCGTCTGCACGGGCGTATTCTTGCCAGAGGAGAGCGAGGGGTGCTGTGCTACTGCCTGCCCCGTGGGAGAGGGTTAACCATGGGGGTGATGGAGTGAAGCGCAGGGAGTGGTATAGGAATGAACCTTCGAGTATGGAGTGAATCTGTGGGAGAATGAGTGGGAGCAGGAGGGGACAGAGGATGTGAGTACGAGAGCGTCGAATATGAGCCATATGAATGATAAGTTGTCTATTGATGACGTATTCTTTGGGAGGATGATGATTGCAGTGACGTATGCGATGATGAGGATGAGCAACGTGGCTGATAGAGATGAGACAGTGACTGTGTCGAGTTCAAGCGTCATCGTCGTGAGTGAACAATGAAAGACAGTCCCTGACGCGTCTCTTTGTTGTCATCCACCAACAATGCACAGATTCCGCGCTCCATGGTCAAAGGATAAACAATCCTCTACTCCCCCCCCTCCTCCTTCTAATAAACCACCACCACCTCCAATCCCATCTCACTCACGCCCACCACCCCCTCCTCCTCCCCGTCCACAACCTCCTCTTCCAACCACCACCATCTCACCCCCAACCGCGCATCCGCCAGGGGCAATCTACCCACCAGGCAAATGGCCAACTCCAGAACTATCCATATACCCACTCAACACCTGGTTAATCCTCTCATCACCAGATAAAGGCTGGACATCCGCTTCCATCCAAGCAGCACTCGACGCTCTCGGCGAAGGGGGGACGCTCTACCTCCCCCGCTCATCAAAGTGGGACATCTCAGAACCAATCCTTCTCCGTCCTTGGCAGGAACTGGCTACCGAAGGTTACCCAACAGAGGAGAAAGACATGGCTGCTCTCGAAGCCACTCCAGGCTGTAGACCGCATCTCGTCAACTGCTGGAACGTCTCCGGCGTCAGGCTCAGGAATCTGCTCATCGATGGGAAACATGATGTTTTTGGGAGGGACGACAAGTGCGGCGTCATGGTCCAGTTCGGAGGGCCAGATCCCGCGTGTCACGATCAAGTCAGTACAACAGATAGTCGGCGTGCGTGGACTGATTTGGCGGAAAGTGGTGCGACAGGTGTATTATTCGGAACCCGCGACAGTGGTCTTGCTTCCAAGCGTTCGAGGGAACTACCAACGTCCGGATCACTAATTGTCGAAGTGCGTCCTCCCTCCCTATGAGCACGATGCCAGTGTAACCCTGACTCACCTTCCCAGTCGGGCCAGCAGGCATAGGAAAAGATATCATCGAAGGCCATTGGGCGGACGGCATCTCCTTCGCCGCCTCGCACGGCCTCGTCGCAGGGAACGAGATCACCGACGCGACAGACGGCGCGATCGTCGTCTTCCAAGCCACCGGCACGCTCGTAACGAGCAACACGATCGTGTGCTATTCTCGTCTCCTCCTGGGGGGGATAAACATGGTGGATCACGCCCCTGGCAAGGGGGACTATTCCCATACCCGAGTAGTACATAACACGATCCTCACCGCAGGAGGATACATCGTCACTGCCATCGCCCAAGGGCCGACGGCCTGGGGAGCCGGCCCTGGGGAACCAAGCGAAGACAAGCTTAACCGGAACGCGATCGTAGCGCGTAACCTGATCCACTACCAAGACCGAGGCCGGGGGAAGGGCGCAATAGGGTACGGCTTTGCCGTCTCTGCCGACGTGCGGGGATGGACGTGTGTGGAAAACGTTTCCGATCCAGGGGTTGTCTATTCTGGGGATATGAGTGATGGAGACTGGGGGCTGGGGGGTATGAGCCTCGCTCCTGGCCCTTTTGTGCGCTCTGCTGGACCGGTAGAGAAACTCGGCGTGTTGCAGGAAGAGTTCGTCCCGGGCTTACTGAGGGGGCTGCTCGCTGTCAAGCCTGGTCGATCTCCTGTTCTTAGGCTGTTTCCCCGGCAGCTGAGCCTCAGGCCGGGGGAGAAAGTGCAGCTCAAGCACTGGGCGCTTGAGTTCCGTTTGGATGGCGACGTACAAGTGCGGAATGAGGGCGGGGAGATCGCTTGGTCTGCCGGGTTGGGGGGGACGATAAAGGGACACGAGAAGACGGCTGTACTCGAGCTCTCCGCTAATGGCCATCTGTGGATCCTGCCCTTCCCTGCCTCCCCAACCCCACTGCTCACCCTCACCCCCTTGCTACCGGACACCGGCCTCCCAGGCTGCACCCCGCAAGCAGAATCACTCCCTTCCCTCCAGCTGTCGGACACTACCCCGCACCTCCAACTCCTAACTCCCTCGGGGGGCATTCTCCTTTCCTCATGCTACGAAGTCCCCTGGAACACCCAATTCCCCGTCGACACCCCCGTCTGCCAGCCCTCAGTAAACGCCGAGTCCACCCTCGTAGCCGTCCTTTCCCCCTTGGGGCAGTACATGATCCTCTCCTCCCGCCGGGGGCGGGTTGTCGAGCTCCCCATCAAATGGCCCCTGGAAATGGGAAGATGGTACATCCTTTGGCAGACGCGTAACGCTCCTCTGCCCCAGTTTACAGAAGGAACACTGGCCTTTCAGGGGGATGGGAACCTCGTACGTCCCCCCTCCTCTCCCCTGTTGCACTCACAGCGATTGACGAGAACAGGTCTTGTATGCAGGAGGAAAGGCGCTATGGAATACGGCTACTTACGGACCCCCGGAGAAACAGGCCAGGTGGATGAAGTGGGGGGACGGGGGGGCTGGGAGGCCCTATCTGGAGCTGGTGAACGAGGCTCGGGAAAGGGTTTGGAGCACTTGAGCGCGCTTGCTTGTGTTGAGTACCATGCTGGTATAAGTGTGTACAACTATGATGAGTGTGGACAGTTGGACAGTGAAGGGTGTGAGACTCTATTGCGCGTGCTGTTTCGGCTGTTTCTAATAGAACGGGAATCTGTTCGTATTTCAAGAGGACCATTGGCCGGTTTGCGTGTTAGGACTAAGAAGGGCGTGCTGCACCTGCGTGCCTGTCAGGGCGAGTCGAATGTAATGAAATGAAAAACAGGAGTTACGAGAAGAGTACTCTTTGTCTTCTTCCGTCATTGTCTGCGTTGTTGAAACGTCAACTATCACATGATCAATTGCATTGAAACCCTTACCCACTTTTCATTACTTTCTCTCATCCCCCGAACTTGCTGCCGCAACCAACACCCGACACCCATGCCCCGATGCCGGAAAGAGCAATCCATCAGCTCCGTAACCCGAGTCTCTCGGCGGGGTCATGTTCCGCCGCCCGAGGGGCAGCTGGCACGGACATACGCCCGAACCGAACCGTATCAGCGTCTCTGAAACGCCTACATCGGCCATCAGGACATGTACATACGCATTCCTCTGACAGTATCGTCGCGCCTCCTGGACGATGCACTGCTGTTGATCGGATATTGGCTGGTTGTCGATGTCGTCAGCTGCTGCTGCTGCTGCTTGACGTATCCGGATACGGATACGGACTGCGCGGCGTATTGTTGCTGGAGGACGTCCGTGTCTTCAGATATTGGATTGCCGTCTCGATTCTCGATCAGACGCCTGCACCGCTTTCCTGAATTGAACTGACATTGCTGGGCTCTTCTATCGCACATAAAGACATGATATGATGCACCGACTCTCGCCTGGCGCGCTCCATCACTCAGTTTCCCCCAGGTCGTCTGACAGGCTCCTACGGCTCTGGCTCAGGCTCAGGCGCAGGATCCCATACTGTATACATAACCTGCTGCGTTTTTGGGATTGGATTTCTGGCGTTCTGGACACCCTTTGTGCACTAGAGGGTCAGCTGGATGTCTTACCCGACTTACGACCCGTCTCTGTTCGGCCCAGAAGACCAGACGCTCCATACTGTCTTCCTGAGCCGGTATATCTCCCTGGCGGGGTATTCTGTACTTCTGCTTGACCTGAGTACGTTGACATCGATTTCCTCCTTCCTCCTTATGGGTCGAGCTGAGCTTGTTCAGTCATCACCCTACCCCATGAAATGTCGGTGGTGTGGCCAGCACGATGGTCGATCGTGAAGATATTGTTCTTGATCGTGAGTTGTCTCTCTGTCGTCGACGGACGAGGTCTCACCTGTCGCAGACTCGATACAGGTATGTACGCCGACGCCTCGCGGTATTTCAGAATTGACCGATTAATGTCTTGCTAGTGTACCTCCTGTTATAACGTCCGTTTATTTCTATAGCGTGGCCTGTTGACAATGCTAACATGTTGACAGGGCGAACATCGTAGGTATCCTTGGGCTGACGACCTCCTTGACCACCACCGTGCGTTGCCGTTCCTACCGCTTTTCCTCGTACTGACAGTACGAACAGTAGTATGTGAATAGCTAGGAGTGTCCATATCGCTGACTCTTGCATAAAGTTGTCAGGGTATGGCGAGACGTACGTGTTCTCATGCCATGGGAACGCGGACAGCTCACGCAATAAATGCAGTCATGGCGTACTACCAATTAACCGCACTTGCTCTGTTCAATGGTAAGTTTGACTATCTTGCTCCGTTACACTTATTAAACCCAGTCCTTGGGTAGTGATTGTATCCTTACGACTCCACGCCCTGTATGGCCGCCGTCGTGACGTATTCTGGGCTCTGGCCGTTCTGCTTGCGTTCACCTACAGCGCGGCCATCGCTCTCGCATCCCACTTTTTCGGGAATGTAGTCTTCCGTGAGTCCGTTCTTACTGCTTGTTATGCATCCTCCTTAACTGCCCGGCATGCAGCCACGGTTGCGTATACCGATGTACCTAACTTCGATATGTGCTTTGCCACAAAATGGCAGGGTGTTTGGGCCGTGTGGGTTCCCGCAGTACGTAGGCTTCTTGTCCATATTTCTTTTGCTGTAGTTACCTGATCACTCTATAAGACGATATACGAGACAATCCTGTGGGGTATGACAGCTTACAAGACGTGGCAGCATTGGCATGTTGGACGTGTGCCACTCCGAGTAGCACTAGCTGGTGATGGTAAGTACCTTCCAATCTGATAACCTATCCTTCCTGATGGGCAGTGCAGGATTTCTGTATCATAGTGTTAGCGGATAACTGTCTCCTATCGGAGATCTATGCTGAACCACTGCAGTGCGTCTTGGCAGTGCGTATCCTCTCCGTCTTGACATTTGGCCTTTCGCAATCTCCATCCTTGATGCTCTTCGTCGTCAATTTTGCCTTCTCAATCATCACGACCGCCGCCTCACGGTGCGTATTTCGAACTTCTGATTCACATCATCGCTCATGACTTTCAGGATGATGCTCTACCTGCCCAGTGTTCAGGGGATGGAACGCTGGTCCCAAGAACAAGACACTTTCCGGGAATCTGGCGAGTGCTCTGAATGGGCCATCTCTCCGGACCTTGCCCTCCGCGCACGTCCGAAAGTTAACCTCTGGCTCGCCGACCAGGGCGGGAGGTCGTTTCTCGAACAGGTGTACCAGACTACTGTGGACGCGGAGACTCCAGAGAAGCCAACGTTACTGTATATGGACAAGTTTATTGTTGGTCATACGAGGAAGTAGGAACTTTTGATTTGGGGGCGTAAGAGGATTTATCTTATTGTTTCAATCTGTAACAACAGACATAATGGCATGGTTGGAAGCATTTCAGTTCTCACTCGATGAAGCACGCGCACAAGAAACGTTGGTGCGTGTATTGTAGCAAGACTGACTCGAAAGTACATGACACACAGGCTCATCATCACAGTGTATAATATATTTTCTCTGTGTTCTTGTTTTCCGACCATCACTCGTCTCATTCTGCTTGTTTGTCCGTGAAACAGTGGGTAAGAAGCGAATGACAGGCTCTCACGACGTATCAACTCGACTCGACTCTCAACACTAGAGGGGGTGGGGTGGGTCACAAGGGGGGTAGAGGACAAGGGTACGAAAGAAAGGACGAGCTGGCATAGAGGGATACAGAGGGAGGAAATGGAAACAGGGAAAAGGATACAGTAGGCTGGGGATATTACGCATTTCATGTTCAGGCAGTCACGGACAACCCGTCGGTCATCGCCCCCAGGTCAAGGCCATCGGCATCGCCAAGCTGATGGAAATCTGGGCAGCTTGGTCAGCAAGTTTATCGTAGCCAAAAATAAAGTAACGGACCGAGAATCTCACTGTACATCATCACCTTCCAGGTGTCCACGGGCAAGTCCGCATCATTAAAGCTCCAGTCAAACTGCTCGGCAGCGACGGGTTCATCAGTTGGATCGTGATACGGTGCAACATATTCGTGCGCGAGCGATTCGGCAGCGGTGATCCGCTTCCGGGGATCAAACACGAGCATTCGTTCCAGGAGGTCCAGGGCTATTGAACGGAGAGATGTTAGGATGACTGTTAGGCAGAATAAGGCGCATATACTTGCCTACAGGGTCCTGTGTCCGGAATTTCTGACCAAAAGGTACACGCTCCCGCTTTGGTAGACTCTGGACGAATCGAAGGGTGTTCTCGCTGCATATAGTTGCAATGACGTCGTCGGGCGGTGTACCAAGGAGCTCGGTGATAATCGAGAATTGGTTCACATCTAGATGTGTACGTTGGACCGAATCTCGGACGAAAGATGATGTACACTTACGGTCCTTACCCGGGAAAAGAGGCTTCCCCTCCAGCATCTCTGCAAAGATACATCCTGTGCTCCAGATATCGACTGAAAGGGGGCGCATACGTCAGGGGTACAGCCTAAATGGGCACACACGATGATTGCTCACCGGCAACATCATACTTCTGCCACGTCAACATGATCTCGGGCGCACGATAGTACCGTGTCGAGACGTAGCCCGTCATCTGAGGGTCTTGAATGCGCGCCAGGCCAAAGTCGCAGATCTAACGGTAAACGATAGCATGAGAACGATGGAATGTTCTCGAAGAAAGTGACGCACCTTCAGGTCACAGTTCTCGTTCACCAGGATGTTGCTCGGTTTCTGCGGTTCCGTATGAGCATACATGTTACTCTTGGAATGCGAACGGCATACCAAGTCACGGTGCACGACACCGGCGGAATGTACATATTTCAGCCCGCGCTAGACGACCCTCAGTACCCCGGAATAATATTCCGGACAGCGCAACGCACCAAAATTTGGTACAGGAAGTATTGGATGAACTGTTTTTCGAGCGGTCGAGAGGTCAGTAGACGGTGCAAGTCGGTACCGAGCAGCTCCGTGACAAAGTAGCTGGTTGACAGATTGAGGTCAGTAGAAGTGCCGATACCGTGGGGTGACAATAACACACATGTCTTCTAACGGAGAGATGAACACGTCACTTAGTGAGATGATCTAGTAAAAAAAAGTGAGATGAGCGACCGGGGGTGACAATAAGAACACGCACGTTCTCATGTCGGATGTGCTTGAGAAGCTTCAACTCCCGGTACGTCCGTTTGCTCAGCACAGGCGTGCTAAACGGCTTCATGATCTTCTTGATAGCAACCTGTTGGTTGGTGAGCTGGTCTTTTGCCGAGCTGTAGGGCCGGCGTTAGCGCTGCAGTAGCATGTTGTCCAACGGAAGAGGTTGCATACCATACCAGACCGAACGCGCCTGTGAGAGCTCATGTCAGGGACACTGACGCAGTAAGTAAGATACCAAGGAAACGCACCCATTCCTACTGGCTGGAGATCCACATAGCGCGTCGTCACCTGCACGGACATAAGCTGCGATGCACATGAGGTATGAGGAAGGGAGATGACGCACCTCGAATGAGGTTCCGAAGATGCTAAGCTTCACGAAGGACATGTTGTTCTCGTCGTGTTGCGCCAGCTTTGCTGAATGAAAGGGGGGCAGGTGGGTATGTACGTTTAGGGGGTTGAGAGGGAGTAGAAGAACAGGTAAGTTTGGGAAGAGGTCGACGTTAAGGAAAGAGAATGATGGACGAGAACAAACAGACGAGTTGAGGGCGCGGGAGATGATGAAGGACCGCGAGAGGGCGACGAACGAGGGCAGGCCAGGGGCGAAAGGGCCTCATCAGCCACGAGTCTGATTCGCACCCGTTCTACTGTCCCCACCTTCCATCTTCTTGCTCAACTTTCGAATGACTAGCGTGGCGTCGACGTCCTCCGTAACTGAGAGAGTTCAATCCACAGAGGAATAGGATCATCTACTCTCTCACAACGACCAGCTAAGCGTTCTCCGCCCTGCCATGCCATAAGTCCGCTCCTGGGCTATCAAGGGTCATCCCTGGATGCCAATAATAATCTAGATACTTCCCTCCGATTTGGTCACAATTTTCACTTGTACCTTTCCCCGCGGGGAGTAGATCATGCGCCACTTGTTTTTCTCATACCCTCTCAAATAAGTATATCTGGTATTATCAAATCTGACCGACTCTCGACCGAGTGACCGACTCCTCCTGGTCATACACCCCCACCAGCTCTTCCAGTCAAGCCGACATCGGGTTCCGTTTCCCATGTCTACGCTGGGTTCCTTGCTTGCACCCAGTCAGAATGTAACCATAATCGGAACAAGCTACTTCCCCCGCGGCGCTAGACCGGACTTCTGAACGTAAACCTCCAACGTAAACCTCCATATATGTGTAGTGTACATGTACAGGAAAAAAGTCCGCAAAAGGGGCCGGGAATCATCGAAGCTTGAAATAAAGAATCAAAATAATAAGGATGATCAGAACGGCAATGATGGCAGCGATCGTGAAACGTTGCTGGTACATCCTTAGAACCATCAAGAGAACGCCGCGTGAGTAATGATGAATGACACGACGCGGAGAACACATACCGCCTGATCATCGTCCTCAGCGTACTGGCAGCCTTGTCAATTGACCGGTCCGCTGTGTGCAGGGTATCCCTCGCATGCTCGATCTGCTCCCTCTGACCACGCAGGTTGCGGAGGATGTCGGCTCCCACGTCCTCCGTCTCGAGCGCGATACGCCTACTCTCTTCCAACCGTTGTTGCCCATCTGCGAGCCGTTCTGTCCCACTCAGAAGGCGCGTGCGCTGGTCGTTTGACCCATAGGGGTCATCCGACGGTGCGCCGGAAAGCGAGGCGGGAATGAGCTGCGCGCGCATCGTTTGTGTCGACAGATCCTTCTACGAACCATGCATTCGTGAGTTCCGAAATTACCCCAATGACGTGGTTATACTCACAGCCTGCTTCTTCAGCTTTGCGAGCTCCGTCTTGCCAGCTTTGAGTCTCGTAACGTACTTGCTCCGAATGCTCTGTGGCATTCCCTGTATCTCGACTTCCATCTGGCTGACCTGTTCCAATCTCAGAGCCCCTTTCTAGGAAGTGCAACCAATTCAAGCACCCACCATCTCGTCCCCCTCATCAAGCTCCATCTCGACCCTTCTGAGCGCCGCCTTCCTGCTCTCGATATTCGATGCAACACCTGCCTCTCCTGAGCTCTCCTCAAGCTTATTCTTTATGCTGCCGGTGATATCGTTGAAGTCCCTCTCATAGGACTCGAACAGTGCTGTCGGTGTGTTATCCATATTAGCTGGCAGACAGCGATATCCGTGAGACGAACGTCTAGAATAGCGAAAGGAAGTAGGAAAGATGTACTTTGTTCACTGCGCCGAAACTGACGACGAACTCGGACCAGGCACAGCGGAAGCAACCCTGTCGGAGTTTTCGTGCCGCGCCGGCTACTTCCGTTTTAAAAGTCCCTGGCCTTTCATCGTAAGAAAGTGCGCGCCTGACTAGATTTCCTTCTCCTCCTCCTCGACTGCTATTGTGAATACAAGCCTCGAACAGACATGCATCCCTCATTTGTCGCCCAGTTCCCTCTGTTCATGAGGGGTGTCGTGTCCAAGGCGAAAGCAATGCAAAAAACCGTGACGGTCATGGTACCACGACGAGCCGTCGACAAGTTGACCAGAAAGGTGTGCAGGTCCGAGGATCACTTTTCCGACCGCGTGCTTATGCCAGCTGTAGGACATCATCAAACACACAAAGTTCCTCGTTCACGATGAGAAAGAGAGTGCGTTGAGAGGGACAATATTCTTTTCCTTCGCTAACTTGGCGCTAGTCTGCAACGTACAAGATGTTGTTCGCATAGCTTCTACCCGACGCCTCAGCAAGCGAAAACACTACGAGGTGGAGCGGATCGAGCACAGGGCAGAACGTATCGAAGGAAGCGCCGTGCGACCGCCGATGATGTACAGAGGGTTCAAGCTTGGCCCGATGACGCGGGAGGACCGCGCGGCGGACACGAAGAAGCAGATGTTGGAGGAGGCGAAAGAGAAGCAGACACGGACCAAGGAGGAGTGGGAGAAGAAGCAAGAGGAGAAGCGACGGATGGTCCTTGAGCAGGCACAACCGCGAGAGCCGGTTGAGGGGTCTTCACCCGTTGTGTAGCCGGTCGCAATTCACACACACATTCAACTCCATCTGCTGGGAAAGCCGTGCCCCATTATTCCAGAAGATCTACTGTGCGGGTATCGCTCCACTTGTCGAATGTTGGTTGCTCTCGATCTGTCCCTGCAGATTGACGAGCTTGATATGGAGATGAGCTCTCATGTGAAACGGGATTGTTGAACGCCACACGTACCTCGAGGCGCTTCCTCTCCTGCTTAGAGTTCAGATCCTTTAGCTGGACTTCCAACCGCGATCTGTGTGAATGCATTGTCAGCGCATGGAGACACCCTATACGCCCTCCAACGCGCACATTTCGTTTCGGATGTATTCCAACCGCTTCTCCACATTCGACTTCGCCTCACCCTGATCTTGCTTGACAAGCACAGGGCCAATCAACTTGAACACCTCATTATCGCTAGTTAATGACAGGAATTCCTGTGGCACATATAATCAGCTGTCTAAGAACAGGAAGGTTACCGCGGCACGTGCGGACCTTTTGTACTTGTTCGTTCTCGGTGAGCTGGACATCGAGACGTTGCCTTGCTTCGATAGCATTCGAAAGGTCTGCGGGAAAAGTGTGCCTATTAAGGAAATGTCCCCATTCGACCTGTTTAGAGGACGTACCAGTCTCTAACCTCTGGTACTCTTTAGTTGCTTTCTGCAACTGGGACTCTAACGCGGTTGACATTGTACGAGCGCGATGAGTAGGTAGTGACCAAGGGACGCGCCCTGCGGGATCTAACCCCAGAGCGATTGCGCCATCGACCTAGTCACTTGAGGGACAGAGACAGCCGGACGAACTCTACACTCTTTGCTTTCGCTCATTGCTGTGCCTGGACTGCCTTCCGTTTGCTCTGACGACGATAGATCAACAAAATAAGTCTTTCTGAGCGGCGATGGCTATCTATGCAAACACCATTGATTGGTGAAAATCTTCCAGTGCTGTGACTGCAGAGCTTGAGGGCTGTTCAATGGGTTACGCTCCTTGCTCTCTCGTCTACCGATGAATGCCCTTCATGTAGGCAGGGTAACCCGTCTACCGCTATCCAAAGCTGTCTTCCGCATACTACTTGCATACGCGCATCATCAACCCCTTGGAACGGTCATTATCTTACTCTTTCTCCGTCTGTGGCTATGTCTATCAGTCGATGCTCCGGTGGGCGGGGGTCATTTGGACGGACCGCGCGGCAACACATGACGGGGAACCACAGGAGTATTTCGCCCGTCAGACCCCCCCAAGACTTCGCACGTATCACACACGCTCTCCACCCTTTCCTCGGAAGCCCGGAATTAGCTTCGCCGACCTCCCTTTTCGCTCCTTTTATTGGTCAATATTACCCAGACATATCACCGTCGGCCAGCCGCACTTGAACGGCCTCGTGCCCTGGGACGATCTGTCCCGCTCCGGCAAGTCACCAAGCTGTGGGCTTGCATAGATAAGGCACGAAAAGGCCTTTGCACCGCTCTAACTCACTCTTTCACCCTTTTCTAACACCTCGATCCACTCAACATGGGCAACTTGCAATCCTCTCTACATTCCCTCAACTCCGCCCATAGCAGCACTTTATGTGCCTGTCTCTTGTGCAACCTCACTGCTCGCTCGATCCACTGGACCGTCAGCTCGGGATCGGAGAAGGCCATTGACGATCCTTCGTACGACACTCTCCCCGTCCTCTCGGGTCATGCTTCCGTCTCGTCTACGGCCACACAGGTGGCATACACGCAATTTCTGAGGACATATCCTGAATACCGCGATACGGCTGCCCTCGACACTCTGCGCAAGCAAGACTTTACTCGCCTGGGAAACACTAAAGAGACCTATGTTGACTACATGGGAGGCCACCTGTACCCTGAGAGCCTGGTTCGCGCCCACGCCGAATTCCTCGCCCAGCACGTGATGGGTAATACCCATTCTGTTAGTAACAGGTATGTACCGGCCTTCTCCCCGGGCCCTGGATTCACACTGAGGGCTATGCATAGTTCGGCAATATCGGCTGCCCACGCCGCTGAGGCACGCCGCGAGGTGCTAGCTTTCTTCGACGCTCCTCCGGGTTACGCCGTCATCTTCACGCCGAATGCGACGGGTGCGCTCAAACTAATTGGGGAATCCTATCCCTTCGGCCAAGGAAGCACGTATCTCCTGCCAGGGGATTGCCACAATTCCGTCAACGGTATACGCCAGTTCGCATCTTCTTCAGGGGCCGACGTCGCCTACCTGTGCTGCCAGGCGCATGGTGGGATAGATCTAGAAGAAGCACAGGTCAGTGTTCTCGATCTAGCGCGAGACCCTGTCAGGCACTGATATCATATCCGATTCTTCTAAGCGTATGCTGTCAGAACGTGCACCCCAAAAAGGCAACCCATCTTTGTTTGTCATTACGGGCATGTCGAACATCTCCAACACCAAAACGCCACTTTCCATTGCGGAGCAAGCGGGGGCCCGCGGGTGGCATACCCTCGTGGACGCAGCAGCGCTGGCACCTACGGCGCATATCTCGCTGCGGGAGAACCCGGCCGTGGATGCCATGGTCGTCAGCTTCTACAAGATGTTTGGCTACCCGACAGGTATAGGCGCGCTCATCGCCAAGGAAAGCTTCCTGAGGCAGCTCAAGCGACCGTGGTTTGCCGGAGGCACGGTCGATGTTGTCCAAGTTCCCGGAACACTGGTCACGATGTCCCTGGAGCTGTATGAGCAATTTGAGGTCCGTTCTTTGTCGGAGAGGAAAAGAACGCCAGCTTATTAGTTTATTTTCAGGATGGGACTATCAACTACCTCGGCTTACCTGCCATAACGAATGGTCTTCGGTATCTCGCCCCCAAATTGCCACTCATCCAGACCCGTGTCGGTCCTTTGTTCGCCTGGTTGTCTACGGAGCTGCAGAAGCTGAAGCATGAAACAACTGGAGCTCCGGTGGTGAAGATCCTCTCCAGACAGCCGAGCAGTGTGCCAGAGGGGAAAGACCGCTGGCAAGTCATGAACAAAGAAATAGGGTACACCCTGTCGATGATATTCTTTGACGTGGGTGCTGACTCGTTCCGCTGGACGATCTGATCTGACTGTCCTCCAGGCTGAAGGGAACATGTTCCCCAATTCCTTCATCGAGCACGCCGCGGCTCAGAAGCGGATCTCTCTGCGCACGGGCTGTGTCTGCAACCCCGGCGGGGCAGCTGCCATCCTCGGTATCGAGCATAACATGGCTCTTCTCAAGCTGGGTGTGACGTATAAGGACTTTGAATACTGGGTCGGGCGTGAACTGGGCGTGGTCAGGGTCAGCCTGGGGATGGTGACTGACTTTGAGGACGTGTGGCGTGTGTGGGCTTTCGCCCGGGATATGGGCATCAGCGAGCGTCGAGAGGTGCTCTGGGACGCTTGGAGGGAAAGCAAGCCTGCTCACTGATGTGGTTTAGATCTAGGAAGGACGTCTCACGCTGTGCGTGCTGTATACACTCGCTCGTATATATCTGAAGTGTACATGACTGAGAATGATAACATTGTTGTTCAACTCTAATGTCCGTGTCTCCGATATCAACGGATAAATGGCTTGATATATCCAGGGATAAACATCCAAGACCATTATGGGCGCCACACCGGCTTCCGGCACTTGGCCATCCAGGGACTGTTTGTCGTATGGAACGGGATGGACAGCGCTTGTGACAGTGAACACATGAAGGCACGCAAGCCATACATGGATCCTGAGTGGATTGTCCTCTTTATTCTTCCACCATCTGCTAGTGCTGACTCTGTGTTGGGTCGACTTGCCCCGGGCTGAGCTTGTTGTGAGCTAGCGCATCGAACCTTGTTGCTCTTCCGCTGGCGTGTGACTGTCACCGGTCAGGACTCATCAATCTAGGCGCCCACCCAGTTGAGCACTCCGCGGACTCGCTTGCACCAGGTTACTAGGGGAACATGTCCACAGGTCCTTCGGGTGGGCTCTACACCGTCGACGCCGCCTCGACGTCGATGTCCTCGCTCCATTTGCACCCTTACGCCGGATCAACCACGCCGAGAAAGAACAGCGGGGGCAGCAGCGAGCTAGAACCTTTGCGGCGTGTACCCTCCCCCGCCGGCATCCCACCGCCGACGTTCACCCGCCCGCACTCGTCTATGCACCCTGTGCGACGAGCGACATCACCCCTCCCTGCGCGGCCGTCATCGCCCCTCGACTTCCCGGCTCCTGGCACAGGTGGCAGGCGCACTTTCCGTCCGCGCCGAAGGTTGCTCCAGGCCGTCGCGTGCTTCGCGCTCTTCTGCTTGCTAGGGGCGCTCCTCTCGGTCGATAGGAGACACGTGCAGAAGTATATCCCCGCTACGCCGTCCTATGGGCTAGGGTTCTATGGATGGAGAGCAAAGAGGCCGAAGGTAGCTAGCGAGGGTGCGCTGAGGATGAGGGGCCAGAAGAGCAGTATCAGGAGTGAGTGTGCTTAAGCTGAGGGAGGAGGGCGCTGAAATCTCTGCAGCGAACTTGAGGACGGATAACAAATATATTACGGCCTGGTTTCATGCTGGTTGGAGTGAGTACTTGTGGCGATGTGTGAATAATCGCTGACTGTAAATTCAGCGAACGACGTAATGATGGCGTTTAACTGTGGGATTTCCTGTTGTGCCGTTAGGTCGAGTGCTGACAGTGCTGGCAGTAATACATCTCGCAAAATTGACCGGGCGTATCCCGATCCTCCCTCCTTTCCCTCCCGATAATGTGAGTGACGTCCTCATCGAGATGGAACTTGCCATTCTGACATGACGATAGGCGCATCTTGTTGGCGGACACGGTCTTGCCGCGGGGTTCATCACCTTTAGCCAAATTTTCGACCTTCCCCGGCTGGCACACGACATAGGCACGCCTATCGTGGAGATGCACGAGCTGAAGAGTATGCAACCGCACACGATCAAAATCTACGGTGTGGAGGAGGGACTGCTGGAGGAACCTCCAGAGATGGACGTGATCGGCTGCTGGTCGACGTGGTTGTCGACCTGCGATGATGGGTGTATCCATGCCCGGGCGGCGGAGGAGCCAGGCGTGTACATGCTCAGTGCGTATGTGTCTGCCTTCTGCATAATCTCACTAACCGGATCCTAGACGTGCACTATACACCCATCCCACCCTCTTTCCGCCGGGCGATGCCCTGGGAGCCCATCACCTTCGAGAACATGACGAACATCGCCAGGCCGCAGCCGAACCCTCTGCTGCAATACTACCTCAAGCCCTCCAACGAGCTCACAGACTTTGTCAAGCAGCGGCATATCCCGCTTGCCAACCCAGCCCCAGACGAGCATATAGCGTGCTTCGACTTTCTGTACTTCGTGAGCGAGACAGGGCTGGAAGTGCATCAGGAGTATACGGGGAGGACGGAGGCTGGAAGGTGGGCTGGCGCGTGGGGGGATGTGGGGAGGTATGCGAGGTGGACACCGGAGCTCGAAGATCTGGCGAGGGGTTATCTCAGGAGGGCATTTAAGCTTCCCGACAGGCCTGGCGTGACGATCCCACCCGTACGTCCTCCCCTTGTGTGTTTAGCGCTGCTGATCAATGCCTATGTCACAGTTCATCGGCATCCATATCCGCCGAGGAGACTTTGGCAAGCTCTGTCCACAGGAGCAGCCTGACTGCCTCCCCACAGTAGCGGACCACGTCGATCGGCTCTCCCTCATCCGGGGAAACCTTACCGAGCGACTGGGACACGCGCCAGAGTACTACCTCATGACCACTGACGAGACGGACAAGGGGTTTTTGTACGAGGCTGTACGCGCTGGGTGGACGCTCGTGGATCATGAAAAGGAACGGACGGTCGAGAGGTTTGGCATGTGGTATCCTACACTGTTGGATAGTGTGATGCTGAGCATGTCCACGGGGTTCTTGGGAACGAGCACGAGCACTTGTGAGCTACTCCTCTATACTGCTTGAGAGGAGGCTGATGGGCGTATAATAGTGTCGATCATGGCTCGGAGGAGGGTCGAGGATTGGAATAATGGGTTTGGGCTGTTTCAACCGTTCCCGGGCGGTATGGGCCCGCAGTTTGACGATTAGTGCATTGTGATGGCCGATCGCCGCCTTTGGGGCTCATGGATTTTCTCTCTCCCGTTTGTTTCTGGTCTGCCTTGATTCTGTCGGTCCTGGCATGGGTGACTCGGGGAGGGAGGAAAGGGAGGGGAGCACAACTGTAGAATACCTCTTCCACGATTACTAGGTTTTCAGGAATGCACCGAACACAGCAGATCGGACTGGAAGGCGGATGAGCCTCAACCATCTGTAATATATTATTGCCCAATGCTTGATCTGATAATGCCTGATCTACTGGCCGAACACGTTCGCCCGCTGTCGGATGTCCGTGGAAGAGCACACGTGTGGCTCCTAGGCTAAAATACGAGCAACGCAGAACGTTAATACTAAGAGCGACAATGGGAATGGCGGGAATGGTTATCTGACCTGTCCGAGACCGGCGTATCGGCCCTAGTCCGAGTCAGCAGCGGGGAAGGAGGATATGCCTGTGCGCGTTAACCTCGGATGATGGGTGGAGTTGTCCACTCTGTCGGGGACGACGTAAAATTTTCGCTGTGTGGACTAGGAATGAATGTCGCCCAAGTCACCTAAGGCATTGTAGGTTATTGTAGGTTATTGTTGTTGTGGCATATTGTTTGGAGTGGTTGGTTGTTGTTGTTCTTGGACTGATGGAGACCGGTGTCCCATCAGCAGTTCGGCAATCTCCTCGACCAGACGAGAAGAAAATATATTCTGCGTGCGGTTAACGAGTAAACACAACTGTTGTCGGGAAGTAAGCCTTACAACAGGAGAGCAATCCGACAGCGGGAAGTCACGTCACTTTCACCCTTGGCCGAGTCGGACGGGATGATCCCACGGTCCCGAACTCAACCGCAATGCAGACACCACGCCCCCAACTCGCGCCTCTCTCGGGGCTTCACATCTCTCGCTCTTACCGTCACCTTCACCCCTTTTGCACGAGCTTGAAAACATGCCGATCACAGCTATTAAGGCTCGCCAGGTATGCGCTCCTTCATTCGTTCATGAGCACGGGTCTGACAAGTCCTCGTCTTAGATCTTCGACTCCCGTGGCAACCCCACTGTTGAGGTCGACCTCACCACTGAGCTCGGTGAGTATATGCGCTTCTTTCCGCGCTGTCTTGGACTAACACGACCGGCTACAGGCAAGTTCCGTGCTGCTGTCCCATCCGGTGCGTCTACTGGTGTTCACGAGGCCGTCGAGCTTCGTGATGCCGACAAGGCTAACTACGTCGGCAAGGGTGCGCATATATGCAGTCCCTCCGCCTCTGAGCCCCCTGACGTTCTCTCCGATATTATAGGTGTGAGCAAGGCTGTCTCCAACGTCAACACTATCATCGCTCCCGAGCTGATCAAGTCGGGCCTCGCTGTCAAGCAGCAGAAGGAGATCGACGAGTTCCTGATCAAGCTCGATGGCACGCCTAACAAGGGCAAGCTCGGGGCGAATGCCATCCTTGGTGTTTCCATCGCCGTCTCGATGGCTGCTGCTGCTGAGAAGGTAAGTTTGATGCATCTCCTGCTTATTGAGATCACCAGATTGAAATACATGCGGTTTAGAAAGTCCCACTGTACCAACACCTCGCCGAGCTCGCCGGCGTCGCTCCTCCCTATATCATGCCCGTCCCCTGCTTCAACGTCATCAACGGTGGTTCCCACGCCGGCAACAAGCTCGCCTTCCAGGAGTTCATGATCTGCCCCACCGGCGCCACCTCTTTCGCTGAGGCGATGAAGATCGGCACAGAGACCTACCACACCCTGAAGAAGGTCATCACCAGCAAGTACGGTATCGATGCCGCTAACGTCGGTGATGAGGGTGGGTTCGCACCCAACGTCGCTGGTGCTGAGGAGGCACTCGAGCTCCTCGTCGAGGCCATCAAGAAGGCCGGCTACGAGGGCAAGGTCAAGATTGCGCTTGACTCTGCTTCGTCAGAGTTCTACAAGGATGGCAAGTACGACCTGGATTTCAAGAACCCCAACTCGAACGAGAAGGACTGGATTAGCGGCGAACAGCTTGCCAGGCTCTTCATCGCCGACATCAAGAAGTACCCCATTGTCTCCGCTGAGGACCCCTTCGACCAGGATGACTTTGACTCTTTCGCCCTGCTCACCAAGGAGGCCGGCATCCAGATCGTCGGTGATGACCTGACCGTCACCAACCCTCTCCGCATCAAGACTGCCATCGAGAAGAAGGCTTGCAACGGCCTCCTGCTCAAGGTGAACCAGATCGGCACGGTCACCGAGTCTATCCAGGCGTACGTGCACTCTATTGCCCCCCGGTTTCTCACTCATGCTACTTTGCAGTGCTCAACTCGCTCAGTCTGACGGCTGGGGCGTCATGGTTTCCCATCGTTCGGGAGAGACCGAGAACACCTTCATCGCCGATCTCGTCGTCGCCCTCGGTGTCGGCCAGATCAAGACCGGTGCTCCTGCTCGTTCCGAGCGTGTGGCCAAGTACAACCAGCTCCTGCGTATCGAGGAGGAGATCACCGAGGTGTCTGGCAAGGCGCCTGAGTACGCTGGCCTGTCTGCCTTTGCGGCGGGTGTGAACCCCCCTGCGCTGCTGAAGAAGTGAAGGAGAAGATGTGAAAGAGAAGATGAATCGAATGTAATGTCAAACCAGGTTAGAGAGTATGCTCGTTGTATGGAAGAAATACCGGGTGCTGTGTAGTAGTCAAAAGCAATGAAATCTAACGATGTCCTAGTCTGTTTGATGAGTGATTCCTGTTGTAGGTGTGACAATGATTAACAATACTATTCATTATGTCATCGGCAATGAAGTCACCGATGAATATGGAATAATTCAGGTCAAAGTGAAGTAGATCATCCACAGATGAAAAGGATACACCTCCACATATGAACACATACGTCAATTGCTACCGTCCTATTTCGGAGAGGGCGCATCTCACACACCGCCCACACTCAGCCCGCCTCACCGGACGGCATCACCTCGGAGCGGCCCCCAAGTCCGGCATTCCTCCCGTCAACGTTCTCGCCCTTCGACTCCGTTCATGTCGACCACCTGATGCAGACACCCGACTCCTACCGCCCCGGCGCCGACGATTCACCTCTCCCTTCACCGGGGAGGGGGAGGCGTGGGGGGGATATAAGACCTCTTGAACAGGGAGGTGCTCAGCAACTACTTTCACTCCTAGCATGCCTATCCAAAAGATCAAGGCTCGCCAGGTACGCTCTTTCCTCCTTCGTCACGCGTAAACTAACACCAGCAGATCTTCGACTCCCGCGGCAACCCAACGGTCGAGGTAGACCTCTTCACCGAACATGGTCAGTGTTCCCGTACATATACTGGTCGGTTCTTAATCTGGGACTATCGTTGTAGGGAGGTTCCGGGCTGCCGTCCCTTCTGGCGCGTCTACGGGCGCACATGAGGCCCTCGAGTTGCGTGATGGCGACCAGACGCAATACCTTGGCAAGGGTATGTCGCTCCCCTTTGCGTAGGCGTACTTGCTGACTGTTGGGTACCGTAGGTGTTAGCAAGGCCATCGCCAACGTGAACGATATCATCGCGCCCGCGCTGATCAAGTCTGGCCTCGGGGTCAGGCAGCAAAAGGAAGTCGACGATTTCCTTATCAAGCTCGACGGTACGCCTAACAAGGGTAAGCTGGGTGCTAACGCCATCCTGGGCGTGTCGATGGCGTGTGCTGTCGCTGCTGGTGGGGAGAAGGTGTGTTTGATTCTTGAGGACGAGCGTGGAGACTGATGTATGCGCGCAGGATATCCCCCTCTATCAACATCTAGCTGAACTGGCCGGTGTCGTCCCTCCCTACGTCATGCCCGTCCCCTGCTTCAACGTCATCAACGGCGGTGCGCACGCGGGAAACAAGCTCGCCTTCCAGGAATTCATGATCTGCCCCGTCGGCGCGACCTCTTTCCACGAAGCGATGAAGTTTGCCACCGAGACTTACCACACGCTCAAGAAGGTCATCAGCAAGAAATATGGGATCGACGCTGTGAACGTCGGTGACGAAGGCGGGTTCGCGCCCAACGTCGGCGGTGCGGAGGAAGCGCTCGACCTTCTCGTTGAAGCGATCAACACGGCAGGGTACGAGGGCAAAGTCGTCATCTCCGTCGACTCTGCTTCCTCCGAGTTCTACAAAGACGGAAAGTACGACTTGGATTTCAAGAACCCCAACTCGGACCCGAAGGCGTTGATCACCGGCGAACAGCTCGCAGAGGAATTCAAGAAGCTCATTGCCAAATACCCGATTATCATGGCTGAAGATCCCTTCGACGAAGACGACTTTGACTCGTTTGCCCTGCTCACGAAACAGGTCGATATCGAGATCACTGGGGACGACCTGCTCGTCACGAACGCCCAGAGGCTCAAGACCGGTATCGAGAAGAAGTCGTGTAACGCTCTCCTGCTCAAGCTGAACCAGATCGGTTCTGTCACTGAGGCGATCCAGGCGTACGCCCCTTCCCCTCTCTAGTACCCTTTACCTTCTACTGACAGAAGCACAGTGCCCAGCTCGCACAGTCCGCAGGATGGGGAGTGATGGTCTCGCATCGTTCTGGCGAAACAGAAAACACCTTCATAGCAGACCTCGTCGTCGCCCTCCGCGTAGGGCAGATCAAGACGGGCGCGCCGGCCCGCTCGGAACGGGTGGCAAAGTATAACCAGCTGTTGAGGATCGAGGAGGAGATCACGGAGAGTACGGGCAAGGCATCGATCTTTGCTGGCAGGGCGGCGTTTGCGGCGGGTGTGAACCCCCCGGCGTTGTTGAAGAAGTAGGGGATGGGAGGTGTGCGAATGTATCGAAAGTAAAAATGTTCGATTCAGGATACAATCACACATGTTTGTTATATTCTGGAAACTTGAAGGGTGGTTAAAGCAAGGTATGGGGAGTTGAAAGGCCATACACGACGTGGATGACTTAATGATTAGGAGCACCGGTTGGAAACACTGCTCTTATCTTTGCTTGCAACACTCAATCGTGCACACCGTACAGTCGTGGTTTAGGACGAACAGGAGCAAGTCAACATCGTTCCGCATATTGGTTAAGCTGGCGACCGACCTCTCCTACACCTCGAAGCCGTTTGGTGCGAAGCTCTGAGCCTCCCCATGCACTGATGTGCAGTACCTGCGAACGACGACGATCACTCCACAGACAGTTGCATGCACTTAACAAGCCGGAGATCGTGCCTATCCCGCCCCCACCCGCACACGATTTCTATACGTACAACGATTTATTCTTCCCTCATATCTAATACAATCCCCGGACAGGTGTTAGGATATGAGGTTTCGTACGACGGCTGCTAGTTCGGGGACTGATGGAAGGAGCATGGGATATCGTGAGCTGAAGAAGAAACGGGTCTGAACAATGTGCGGGACTGCGATTACGCAGCGGCCTTGGCAACCATAGCCTAGTGACGGATTGTCAGTACACACGGATGGAGGAAAGACGGATAGAGCACGCACCTGGAGCTTGGCGGGGACGGCGCCAGTGAACTCATCGATCTTTCCGCCGTCCTTGAAGACCATGAACGTGGGCATGGCGCGGATGCCGACCTCCTGGGCGATCTCGCCCTGCTCGTCGACGTCGACGGAATAGAAGGCGATCTTGGAGTTGAAGTCCTTGGATTCGGCGAGCTTCTCGAAAATCGGACGGATCATACGGCAGGGACCGCACCACGTCGCCCAGAAGTCGATGACGAAGAGCTTGTTGCTGTCGAGCTGCGAAGGGGGGCAGATTAGTATGATGCGGCGATGGAGATCTGAAGGCGCTTACCAATTCCTTGAATTGCTTGTACGAGGTGATGGGGGTGACAGCAGGGCTAGACATCTTCTTTAACTTGCAATAACCGGCGAGATTGGGGTGGATTTCAACGGGATCTGTGTGGTGATGCGTTGTCACTATTTGCTGATGTTGTCAAGTCTGATAGACTGGGGGTGGATGGTGGTTGATGTTGAAAGAACGGGGGGTGGGACAATAAGATGTTTCGCAGGCTTTTATAGTCCCACCTGGCATCGATGGCGTGGAGGAACGTAAAGCCCGCGGAGTAAACCCGTTGAGCCGATGGTGCAATGGACGGCTGGCGCGGTGGTTGTATAAGCTCCTCTTTCCCGTCTCCCACAGTCACGCCCCCCATACTGTTAGCGCGTATACATCTTCTGCCATTAGGAGTAGTCATCCCACGCTCTACAAAGCGGACACTAGAATCCGCTACTACCGACTGTCGAAGCGGACTTTGCAGCCCTTAGAAGCATAGGCGCTTATGAAGCAGACAACACGGAGCCTGTGACCTTTGGCTTGGTGGGGATTGCAACTCGCCCTCCTGACTCTTGTTATGCCTTACTAAGCAAACCAGGTGACAATCTTCCGCTTCGACTCCCAAAGATGTTGACTAACTATTGTGAGACCGACCAGAGCATTCTCGCGGCATCTCGCGGTACATGTACCGTGTGTCTACATCACGTGTCCGCACTGGATTGGAAAGTGATTACAAAACGAACACCTCCGCTCTTTCAGGTGATCCAGATGCGGTGCGGTGATTCGCGACTTCCTGCTCAGGATTCTGGTCGCCTATCCTTCCTCAGCCAACGATTCGCACCACTAGCATTCCTCTAATTGGCCAAGAACGCACCTGTGGTCTGCCGCGAACGGAAACACCCCTGTTCTTCGCCGCAACTTCGGCTGTTCCTCTCTGTCTTCTGTCCAAACCCGCGTACATTGCTCAAAACGCTCTCCTTGTCTGTACAATCCCGGCCAATAGGAGCATCATCATGACGCTGGCAGCCTCATGGTCATGGCCAAAACCGCACCAAGCTGGGGCTCAATGGATGTTCCTTCCGGGCCAGCGACTCCACGTACCTGGGAGACCAGTGCTCGATGGGGTACCGGAAGGCTGCAAGTGAAACTCGGCCGCTGTTGACGTATTCTCGGACGCCGAGAAGTCTCGGGCAGCGTGATCAGGCACCGCAGGAAGGGTTCTCACCACAACTTCGCGAGTATCTTGCCTTGAGAAGCTTGGATTGGCATGAACTTCTCGCAACGACGTGTTTCCTCTTAACTAGGCAGGCTGGAACGAGGAACCTCGATATCATTTTGGCTCGGTTGATAAGCATGTTGCACGATGACAACGGGAGGCACGACGTTTTCTTACGTGGGTGTGTGGTACTGGAATGTGCTTTCTGCCTGCGGAAAATGCCGACAAGAATGTTCAAAGAGCTGTCGTTCGTACTTTCCAATTTCTCGAGTAGACCAACTTCTGCGCAGCGTTCACTCCCGAACAAGTGATCTGGGTAACAGACTACTACTCCAATCCAATTCCTGTCTTTACTCATCGTTGGCACCTTCCTTGTTCTGCGCACGGTCCAGTGAACGAGGTGCGTAGGTATGTATATCATGTGCACAACTGATGGTATAGCCAACTGAAACGATATCAATCCATTCCCGGTAAATGCCGATCTCAGTTTCGTGTCTGATACGATGTTATTCTGTTTGGGAAAGGAGTGTATTTGGGATCACGCTGACTGTTGAATCCAGTTGATGCATGAAGAAATTCGTAATCCCAGAATCCCATGGAACGACCTGCTCTGCATTGTGTGCTGAAACACCGCTTCAAACGTGCTGTGTTGCTGCGGCAATCCCGACAGAGCATCGCGCCATCCCTTATTCTGATCGCTATATTGATTATCTACCTGAATCGAACTCGACACCGACTCAGATTCTAACTAAGTGCGCTAAGCCTATTCGGTCCCCGAACAATCTCGTTCAAGCTCGGAACCGAAAGATGACCGAAAGAATCCTCCCGCTCGATTGGAATAGAATATCTAACTTCATACCTTGTCCTGATACAGGGAGCGGTGAGGTAACCTCGTCCTGTGGAGATTGCGAGTTGTTGTGGATTATGTTAGAGTTGGATTGGAAAGGTGTCCTGAAGGAGGGAACGTGAGATGTATCGATGTTAGGTTTGAGAAGCATCCCCGTAGCTCTGAGTTGGGTTCTCTTCGTCTACTGTGTCCAAATCATAGTGAATGGAACGAGCTGATTGTATTGAGGTGTATCAAGCGAAACATAGCACTCGAATGGAATACAGACAGAGAACAGCGGCTTACAATCCTGTCGAACTGCGGAGAGCGTCCACGAGCCTCACGTCCTGCACTCCCTCTAGGTTGTGTACAATAACACGCCGCGTCCGAGCTCGCACCTGTGCGGATGGGATCTCAGAGCCTGAGCACGCCGATTAGGATATCTGTTCCTCTGAGGTATTTCCGAGTGAGCAAGACATCGTCGCACGTGACTTTATGAACTCTTTCTCAGCCTTTTAGGACCTTGCGTGGGTTCTACCATTACTCACATCAAATCCCAACAAGTAAACACGCAGTGGGAAAGGCAGGAGATATAGATATCGGGATCCATAGACAGATCGCTCTAAGCATAATAACAGACCTGAAAAGGCACCAAGAGCCGTCCTCGACCTCCGGTAGAAGCGCGAAAACACTGCTCATCTTCCCTGCCCTCAGGCTGGGACGAAACGAGGAAGACCGCCGTGCTCCTTTTTCCATTTCTTTGTTGATCGGATGTGAGCGGGCCGCAGACGGAGACTGACGAGCCTGGATGATACATGGGTCAACCTCTCTGTCCGACTCCACCGAGCGAGAGCTGCATTTATCTTCCGTTGTCCATTTTGACGTTCTGCTTTCGGTACTTCTCTTCCATCCCACCTCGCCCTTGCTGCGCCCTTCCCGTTATTCCCGAGCGCTCTAAGGGTCTTTGGGCTCTTATCCTCGGCCCGGGACCGGGGGGAGTTGCGGGGCAGAGGGGTAAAGCGGGGCACGGGGCGGAGCGGGGAGGTAGGAGAAATACGGGAAAGCGGGGAAATGTTCATTCAGAAAAGTTGTCGTTGTAGGCAGGTATTGGGCAGTAAACAAGATGCATTAGTCCGGACTGAAAAGTTTGCACTATCCGTCCGTGAAAGGGCTTACTATGCCCTTACGGCCTCAATACATACACGGATCAAATGTATTACTATCTAGTAGCAATACATTACATGTAGTAAAAGGATAGAGAGAAGGGTGGCCTACAGCCACCCGCTACGTGTCAGTCCTCTGGATGATCATGATTGCCTCTGCAAGGTGATCCTACCTATAAAGGGAAGTATGGGGTCATATATGGACCCTTACACCCCCCCCCCTGTCAAAGAGGAAGGGGTATACATACTAACAAGCACAGTCATAGCTGTGGCTGTCACCATAGTTGAGGAGGGTTTCATCCTTGATGGCTGTGTCCACATGAGAGGGACCAGCAGCAGGAACAGTATGGTCATCAGACCATTTCAAACCTTTGGGTTCAAGACCCAGTGGTGGAAGGCCCTCTGCAGGAGGGGGAACTATTGCAGACTGGAAGACTTCTGTCCAAAGGGATTGGCTGCATCAGTTGACAAGACCAAGAGCACAGATGCTATTTTCATTGAGAATGTTGTTGCAGTATGCATGACTGAGTTCTGCCTTCTATCATCTATGACCAAAGTAACTGACCAGTATGTCAGTTTTCAATTCATTGAGCCCACTGGCAATGAACTCTTTGGCAACCCTGATGGGGCTCCAAATGTGTACACTGTCTGCATTGAGAGAGATGGCTTTGTGGAAGCGAGTGGTCATAGACCAATGAGGAATGCCAGCTTGACCAAGCTGATGCTCATATATGAACTTGTTGAATTTGAACTTAGTTCGAAAGAGATTCAGCCAAGTCCACATGTTAAGGTTGGGGATGTAGTATTTCCTGTCCATAGAGCGCCTAATACTAGGCCCCTTATTGAGGTGAGGATTCACCTCTTTGCCCTCCTGCTCCACCATCTTCATGTATTGGGACCAGAGGTTACCTGCCCATGGAGTGTGAGCCCAGTGGGCATCAGCAGTCTCCATTAAGACCTGCCAGGGGGGAAGATCCATGTTATGGATTGTGGTCAATTGCTTGGCTATGACAATTCCCTGCCAGGGATTTGTTGGATTGGCTTGTGGGATGGGATGACCCATCTGAGCCACACAAGTAGCTGCATGCTGTGCAGCCACAACTTCCAAGACTCCCATAGGGGGGAATCACTGGTGCAACACAGCAACAGCAGAAGGACTGTTAGCATTGAGCTGAGTTGACACAGAACAAGTAGGAGCTCCAGAGGAGCCAGATGTTGCTGTGGTGGTTGTCCAGGTGAGAGTGAGAGGCAGTCCAGCAGCACTGGACACAACCAAGCTGTAAGACTTGCTCAGGGTGGGGGCACCAGAAGATGCTGTTACTGTCAATATAGATGATACTTTGCACAGAGGTACAGAGGTGGGCTTGTCCACAGCAGGACACTTGCTGAGGGTGACAGCAGAGGGTTGGGGAGGGGCCAATGCAGGCTCCTCGACAATGGGGTCATCCATAGGGATGTTGTGATTGTCAGGCATCTCATGGGACGACGCTGGCTGCAGTCGCAAAGATGCACTTGCAGCCCCCGTGGTAGAGGGTGCACAGGGAGGATCTGTGCAATCCAAAGAGGAGTGGAGACAAGCACAAATGTAGTCATATTTGGAGTGCCAGTTGTTGCAGTCCCAACAGAGATGCTCGGCATCCAATCTGGCCTGCGGTGCCAATTGCTGGGCATCAGAGATCATTTTTGTGGCAGTTGAGCAGAGCTGCCTAGTGTCATCCAGAGTGGATGATAATCTTGTGTTCTCCTTGAGGGAATGCACAAGGTCTTCTTTGCTCTTTCAAAGAGCATCTTCAAGTCCTTTGACTTGATTGAGATGTTTGTGATGGAGGTGGAACAACTCATCTGAGCAGTCTCTGCAGTCCAGTGTGAGACATTCATGAGTCTCTTCTGCAGTCCAGCAATGCAGGCAATTGAAGAGCAGCTCATCAGCAAGCAGCTCAGCAGAACAAAGAGCCAACCATGAGTTGGCATGAGGATTTCCTGCA